GGAAATATTCTCTCTGATCTGCAACTTTACTCTGTGTGTCCATATATTTTGTCAAGAACATTAATATTTTTCAAACAGCATATACCATAAGACAATCTCCATGAAAGTGTGTAACCTTTTTCTTCCTAAAAATAAGCCGATGCAAAAAAAAAACACCAAAAAAACTTCCAAATGAGAAACCAATGCACTTTGCTGAAAAATGCAAATCCAAATGACATTTAGGAAGGGAGGAGTGCACTTCCTAAAGTCCCAGAAATGGCAAAGTATCTCTTGCACTGACTCAGCCGATCACTTTCCTGATTCTCAAACAGAAGACAGGAAAACCACGATTCATTTTCTTTCAGCAGCTCCTCTGCCAAAGCGATGCAGAGCCAGGAGATACTCTCAGCTATCCTGAGGTTACTCAGGGCTACACCTTACTGTCCCTGGGGAAAGGAGATAGGGAATCCCACAGCTGACATTCAATCTGTCAGGAAATCCTCTTGGCCCTGCCTTCAAAATATATCCAGAATCTGATCGCTTATCACTACCTCCTCAGCTACCACTACCTCCTCAGCTACTGCCCTGGGTCAAGTCAGTATTGCCTCCTGTCTGATTATTTCATTAGCTTCCTAATTAGTCTCCCTACCCGCCCAGCCTACAGCCACCCCCAGACAATTCTCATACAACAGCCAGAGTGAACTTGTTAAGACATAAGTCAGATCATGTCCCTCCTCTGCTGGAAACCCTCCAGTGGCTCCCATGTCACTCACGATCTGGCCTTCTATCACTGCTCCCACTCGCCTGGAGTGCCCTTCCCAGATATCCACACGACTTAGTTCCTTCATTCCTTCAGTTCTTTACACAAATGTCACCTGTCATGTGACTCTTGTACTCATCACATTATCTAAAATTGCAGCCCTCTTCCTATCTGCCGTCAGTGCTTTCTTTCACCTTTGCATCCACTATACTACATAGTTTATTATTTTTTTTAATCTCTGAATTGCCTGTCTCTCCAACTAGAATGTAGAATGTAGGGTTCTCTGAAGCAGGTGTTTTTGTTTTGTTCACTTTCTCTAAAGCCAAGAATGGTGAGTGGCACAGAAGAGTTAAATATTTACTGAGAGACATATATGTATGTGAGAGGCTGTACCCCCTGGATTCTACCACATCTTCCATCCACTGAGTTAGGCAATGTAAAGACTCAAAACTAGACTGATGCACTTTTATTACCATGGAAGCTATTTTCATATTCTTCTGAGGCATGTATTTATACCTTGCTTTCCCTATCTGGAATGCCCCAAGCAAAATACTTCCCATCTCTGGTTAGGTCAAGAACTAGTCAAAGGTTTTCTTTCTAGAGAAATCTTCTAGTTTCTTCCAGCTTATTAATCTGTTCTGAATATTCCCATTAACAATATTTCATTGACAGGCATGTACACTTGGCATCTGTCAGTGTATGGAAACTGACACTTATTTCTTATTCAGTTATTTCTATCTGGCTAAGTTGTATGTTTCAAGGGGTCAGGCAGCCAGCTTGACACCCCCATCAGCATCTCACATAATGCCTTCATGTAGCATGTCTTTAACTATTTTGACTGATGTTTTCTATAATGTGACTGCAAGTTCTCAGTTTAGTATAAACAACTAATTTGACTTGAAATTCTGTCTTTACGTTCATACTCTACATAGTTGACAGGATGAAAATGGGAATACGGTGTCAGTTTTCTGAGAAGAGTCAAGTATTTAGACAATAAAGGGAACAATAGCAAGATTACCAAGTTCATTTTGTTCATTTGTAGGACAAACAATAATGAAATGAATACATCAAAATTTAAGAATATAACTTACCTAAAGATAAAAAATTATAATACTCCTACAGTATTTAAAAAATTTTATTTATAGTTAAAAAAAAACCCAACCTCTTTATATTAGGATTCAGAAGAGAAATTCCTGTCTTGCTTGTCTTTTATTTTGGGTGGGGAGCGGTGGTGGAGGGAATACCCCATGTAGCCACATCACATGGCAATGCTAATGCTAAATGCCCTAGTACAATTCTAATGACAGAACCCTGGTCTAGTTCTAACTAAATAAATGAAAACATTAAAAGACTCAAATAGAACTTTAAACTAAATAATCTTTAGAAAATTAGTATATAATAAGTGAATTAATTTAATCAGAATAAAGATTCAGGAATTTGAGATCAACATTTTAAAACTATGTCCATATGACAGCCAATATATCCCTTTACAGAAACGTTTTTTGTTTTTTTTTTAACACAACAAAGCTTTAAAAATGCTGATGGAAGTAACAGCATATTTTTATCACCAAATATTATATCAAATTTCCTCTCTGGCATTAGAGACACAAGTGTAAGCCACAAAGATACCAACTGTTACACTCTATGCCATAATTTCTTCTCTGTAGTAAGCATAGATATCAGTACATTTAGGCCTACAAACCATCCCGAATATAATTAAATCAAGTGACAGTGGGCATAGAAGTTAACTGTTTCTTACACCATAACAAACCTGCTTTTATTCTACTAAGAAATTTGAAAAATTAAAGTTTAAAGAGTAATTTTTCTATGGCCTATCTTCATAAAATAAATTTCTATGGAAACTTCCTTCTGGTCTACAAAAACAATCAAACCAACCCCCAAAAGAAACAGTAACCACAATTGCAAAAACAAAAACTACCTTTTAACACTGCTTTCTTTGACTTTTCAATATTTCTCTGGATTTTAAAATTCCACTCACATGCAAAGTACACACCAAAAGTATTTAATGCAATTGTGTTTCATGCCAAAGGAAAAATAAATTTACTTTATAATTATGTCTGATTTGTTGTGCAGAAGCAAAGGAAGAAACAGTCAATGCAGACAGGAGACTACTGATTCAGAATTACTTACATTTACATTAATAAGAAAGCAAGCAGTTAAAAAAGTAATGTCATTTTAGTTCTCTAATCAATTGCCTATCATTGAACTAAAAGCAAGACATATACATCAAAAATTTAAAGGAAAGCTTTTTAGGGATATTCTTTTTAAAAATCTAAATGCTTTATGAGTATCCATATATCTTCAGAACGTATTAGTAAAATAAAGACCTTATGTCTGCCTAGAGTCAAGCAACCACTTTACAGATTGATAAAGAATCTATCTAGATGGGGCTTCATTAGCATAATCCCAATCCAATTTATAGCAAACAAGATTTTGTTTTCCCGTGTTTTCTTATTTGCTTACTTTATTTTTATGTAGCATTGAGAGTCTTTCTTTTAATGCTTATATATTGGATGGAACCATGTGAAGTCACCAAGATTAGATTGTTTTTACCTACAAAATGACAATTTCATATTATTAAACCTCATATTATCTCTTATCTGGATAATAATTGTACTCTTCTAATTTATAATACTGCTTTGTAGCACAGCCCTTAAGCGTCACATTTGTTATACAGAATTGTCCTCTCAAACTCCCACATACACCATATTCCCTGAGTTAGAGTCCTGTAATGTAGACAAAGTGATTTTGGCACCTCTGGATTACCATCAAGGGACAGATACCTTGCTGTCTGTATGTCTGTATGACAGCCAGTATCTGCTAGGTGGCAGTTATGCCCACCTCCATAGCATTGTTTGTCCAGACTGTGAATTCTTCAGGTCATGAGGCTTTGCAAAGCCTGGCAAGGAGAGAGTAAGTCTCAAAAGAGACCAAAAATTTTAACCATGTGTGATATTTTCTAGGTCAGGAATACTCAATTTTAGCCTACTGACTACCTCACAGAGAAGTAACACATCTTATGAACTACCTATATTTTGCTCCCTCTTATTATAAGGGAGAAAAATCTAACTCACCAGAATTTGTAAGTTTCAACAACATGCATTTTGAGTAATTCATTGAACATAAATGTATTGATCACCTACTATAAACCAAACCCTGTGGCAAGTTTTAGATGTCTAGTTAATTTTAATTCCATAAGTAAGTTATTAATGTAGAAATGCTGATAGGTTATGCACACTGTAAGAGACAATGCCACAGATAAACTTGAAGTCCTAGTTGTTACCAGTAATTCCTTGAATTCCCTTTGACAATCAGCCAGTAAGCCACTTGGTTTCTGTTACTGAAACTTCTTGTGAGAGATCTAGAAGCCTTCTCTGCTGTGGGATTAAAGCTGAAAGGATCCTTGAATAATTAGAGTGCTTTCTGGTATAGGATAGACTCAAAATGGACTAGTCCCTTGCAGAATTCCTCTATGATGAATACTATTCTTAAGATCTACTGGAGAGTTTGTAATGTCATAATGTCAGGGTTTTTTGTTTTCTTCTTTGGCCACTATTAAAAATTTACCCAAAATATTCAACTAAACTGACACTCTAATAGCAGTGTTGTCAAAGACTAGGCTATTCTTCTCATTTGTTCTTACAATAGTTTTGCACGGACTAGCAAAATCAACTGCGTCAAAGATTTGCCTTGAAAAGATTAAGCAGGCTTCTAAATTGAAAAGCTGAAACTCCAATCTTTGAAGACTTTGAATACATTAAATAAATGCATTTATTTGGGAAAATAAATTATATATGTATAATTTTTATAAACAAAATTGCAAGTATTAGAAACACTTCTGAATTTCTGGAGAATCCATGAAAAGAGATTAACAGAGGGAAGTGACTGCTTTTCCTATAGCTTCTAAAGAGAAGACTAGAAATTAAGTTTAGCACTCTGAAGCACAAGTAACATAGTAAGGAATCTGCCCTGTGACGACATGTGAAATGTCACCCGGGTGGCACCTAAATAGATGAGACAGTGAGTATGGATTAGATTGAGCTCAGAGTCCTTAAAATTGGTGCTGCTCCCCCTTGTGGCTATTTAGATACATTGTAAATATGACTTGCATAAGGTTCTTTCTAGACTAGAATGTTGGGCTATTAGCCCACATTTTATCCCTTCCCCCATCCTTTTTAAGGAAAATGGATTGTTTCAAATAACTAAACAACACTTAAATGTCAAAAACCAAAAAACTTACTGTGGTAGAAGTAAAAGAAAAGATATCCACAACAGGGGGAGTAGAGCTCTGCAAATCGATTACCTCAAGCTTTGGATTAATCTGTGTGTATACATAAAAAAAGTTAATATGAGATTTTTATACCATGAGAAACCGAATGCTATTTGTAAAAACCTAGAGGGCATTTCTTAATATTTCTAAAATCAAAATATATTGGTACATTCATTAATATGTAGGCAAAAATTTCTAGCAAAATATTAGCCTAACCAATCCTATCAAAGTAAAAGAAAAGATCATTATGACAAAGCTGAATTTATCCCAGAAATGAAAGAGTATTTTTACTTGAGAAAATCAATGAATTTTATCTACAAAGGGATACTAAAAATAAAATAAAATAACCCACCTTAAAAGATGCAGAAAAAATCCTAGTCAGTTCAGTAAGACAAGAAAAGGAAATAAAGATGTTAAGATGTAAGAATTAGAAAGAAATAGTCATTCATATTTAATTATCTATGAATAAATCCCAAAAGAGTATATTGCTAAATAATTAGAACTACTAAGAAAGCTGAATAATAAATAAGTAAATAAATAAATAAAAGAAAGCTGAATAAGATTTCTAGACCCAAAATCAATATGCAAAATCAACTCCATTTCTAGCACACAATTAGAAAATGTAAATTTTAGGCCTGGTGCAATGGTTCATGCCTGTAATCCTAGCATTCTGGGAGGCCGAGGCAGGAGGATTGCTTGAGCTCAGGAGTTCAAGGCCAGCCTGAGCAAGAGCAAGATTCCGTCTCTACAAAAAATAGAAAAATTAGCTGGGTGTAGTGGCATGCACCAATAGTCCCAGCTACTCAAGAGGCTGAGGCAGGAGGATCACTAGAGACCAGGGGTTTGAGGTTGCAGGGAGCTACAAGGATGCCACTGCACTGTAGCCAGGGTGACAGAGCGAGACTCTGTCTCCAAAAAAAAAAAAAAAAAGATAAAATTTAAAAAGACATCAGTTACAATACTTTAAGATTTTTTTAAAAATACATCAGAAAAAATATATAAAGACGTGTAAGACCTTATGGAAAAAAAGAATAAAACATGTTATTAAAGAAAGCTCAGATAAATAGAAAGCTATATAATAAAGAGCTCAGAAGCAGAGTGCTGTATATATGGAAAATAAACATAAGAGAAAAATGGCACCACAAATCAGCAGAAGAAGGATGATTTGTAATTGAAAAAACTTTTAATTTGTAATTGAAAAACTCACTATGTGGATTCCTATCTAATACCACATATAAAGGTGGGCATTTAGAAAGCTAAGTGTTATGTTAAAATTCTAAAGTTAATAGAAGTAAATGTATAAGAATATCTTTGTAAACAGAGGCTGAAAAAATTATTTTAAACAAAAACGGCAAAAGCAAAACCATAAAGCAAAACAAAACAATATAATCCTCCCCCCAAAACTGATGTATCTGATTACACCAAAATTCAGGATTTCTGTTTAACAATGGTCATCACAAAGTTAACAATGAGATAACAGAAAAGGAGGAGATATTATGATGTTGAAAATGGAAGGACAAATATCTAAAATATATAGGATAAACCTACAAACCAATGTGAAAAGAACAGCAACACAGAGAATAAAATTATAGAAGAGAAAACCTAATAATTAATCAGCATATGAAAAGATGTTCAGAAACATTAGTAATGAGAAAAGTAGAAATTAAAGCAAACTACCACTTAATATCAATTAGATTGCAAAAACTAGAAAGCTCAATAATGTCAATATTGTTTATAGCGGCATTTTTTGTAATGGCCAAAAAACAATTAGAAATACCTCAAATGTCTGTCAACAATAAAAGAGATTGTGGGAATTACTACTGTGATAAATTCATTAGAATACTATATAGCAGTGGAAACAAATGAAATACAACTATGTGCAATAACATGTGAATATATTAATTCAGAATTCATATTATGAATCTCAGATTTTAATTTTAAATGAAAAGGCAGGATGGGCGAGATGGCTCATTCTTATAATCCCAGCACAGCATTTTGGGAGTCTGAGATGGGAGGATCACCTGAGACCAGGAGTTCAAGACCAGCCTGAGTAATATAGTGAGACCTAGTCTCTACGAAAAATACAAAACCTAGCTGGGCATGGTGGTGCGCACCTGTAGTCCCAGCTACTTGGGAGGCTGGGAGGGAAGATTGCTTGAGCCCAGAAGTTCAAGGTTGCAGTGAGCTATAATCGCACCACTGCACCCTAGCCTAGGTGACAGAGCGAGACCCTGTCTCTGAAAAATAAAAAAATGGAAAAATGGAAAAGCAAGTTACAAAAAATATTCAATGATTCCATTTATATGAAGTCAAAATCATTTAAAACTAAGCAATATTTAATTGTAGATTCAAACATATATACTAAAATGACAAAGAAAAGCAAGAGAATGATCACCTAGAATGGTGACTACCTTTGAGGGAGGTTATTTCAGAATTCAAAACGATCAAAAAAAATTTCAAACATAATGAATATAAAGAAGTAAACAGGCCGGGCGCTGTGGCTCACGCCTGTAATCCTAGCTCTTGGGAGGCCTCAAGGTCAGGAGTTCAAAACCAGCCTGAGCAAGAGCGAGACCCCGTCTCTACTATAAATACAAAGAAATTAATTGGCCAACTGATATATATATAAAAAATTAGCCGGGCATGGTGGCGCATGCCTGTAGTCCCAGCTACCCGGGAGGCTGAGGCAGAAGGATCACTCGAGCCCAGGAGTTTGAGGTTGCTGTGAGCTAGGCTGACGCCACGGCACTCACTCTAGCCTGGACAACAAAGTGAGACTCTGTCTCAAAAAAAAAAAAAAAAAAAAAAAAAAAGAAGTAAACAAAGGGCAACAAAGATAACAGAACTTTATATCAGACGAACAATACCAACAATAAGTGTACTGAAGAACCTCAAAGAAACTGTTGACTAAGCACTTAGCTAGTGAGAAAGGCTTCCTATGGAGGAAACACAGTTTAAGATGGCTCCTTAAAAAAAATCTAGAAAATAAAAACAAAAACAGACCAACAGAGATGAGTTAAAGAGCATTCCTCAGGATAGCAGCAGAATACTGACACGATACTTTCACACAGTAGTAGAAAGAAAAGAGAACTAGATAGGTTGGCAAGGGACAAATTGTGAAGGGTGAAAGAATTTGGGAAGCCACAGAAAGTTGGAGGCTAAAATGTGCTTGAGAAAGAATAATCTGACAGAGACATGCAGAGTATTAAGAATAAATTAGGGATGGCAGTGAGCACACTGCTGCAATAGTCCAGGACTGCAGCGATGAGGACTGAGCCAGTGATGAGAGGAAATGCAATGGTTTTAAAAGCACTTATGCTTGATGGGCGTAGCTGTAGCTTTAGAAATAATAAAAACATTTTATAATTATCCAGCCAATGTGTTAGAGGGGGCTGCGCACATACTCAGTAATTGCCATGTTAAAGTAAAGAAGGGATAAACCTGTGCAAGGTGAGAATGAGCTATTGGCCCAGCTAGCCAAAACCTTTGTTTCTTTCTTTGTTTGTTTCTTTCAATATTGTTTCCTCCTGGTAGCTCTGAGTCTGGAGTTGAGGCAAAGATAAGAAAACTGAGGGTGATTCATTTTCCTTTCAATCTTAGGCTTGCAGTCCAAAGAGACTGCTTGTAGACATTTTATTCTCTTTTATCTACTGCCACCTAGTGTAGCTAGGAAATTGTTTGCCTATGAAAATACAACCTGGTTTCACCATCTGAAATTGGAACTGCTCAATAAATTTAAATAACATGGAAAGAATCAGCACCTTTCATGAAAAATTCTTGACCCTCTACAAGGTGGAAAATTCTTGATGTAACTAACAGTGTCTTACTGCATTGTGGCACAATTTGCTGCCACGTAAATTAAACAGAGCCAGAAATTCTTACTAAGTAAACGTTTACAGTCCTCTCCACAAAGAAAATATGCTGAGGAGATTGACACAGTTAAATTCTTTGCTAGCTAATCTCCAGAAATACTAATAGTACCTTCCAGCTCTCGATCTTTACTAAAGGAAAGAACTCCTTAATAATGAGAGTTGCCTTGAAATGGAGTGATGCCTTACTGTCATCAAGATATCTATTATCATCCCTAATGGTTATACTGTCCATCAAAATGTGCAAAAGAGGAGGGGACTGCTCAGGAGAAAAGTATCCTACACACACATTAAATTTCCCCCTCAAGAAAGAAAGTTTGGCTTTGTCTGGGAGCAGGAAAGTGCAATTCAGCTCATGACAGTCTGAAGAAGATAAAATCAACATGAACAAGTGATATGCCATAGCACAATGTGGGCAGGGTTAAGATACCTTGTGTAGAAATTAGGCTTCTTTCCCACCACCACCCTCCCACCAAAAAAAAAAAAAAGGAAAGAAAAAGGCATTGTTCTCATGTTTTTAATTAAGATGGAGTGCCTAGGCCAGAAGTGCTACAAATGATCTATAGTTAGATGGGTAGAAAGAACACAGGAGGGGGCTGTTTCACACAGCGAGGATTTGATGTTTCATGCCTTCTTTCATGTGGCCGCCTTTTCTCATTTACTCTAAAAGCAATCTGGCTATCACCCCTTCTGTCTGTGTAGGAATTATAATCAGCTGATACCTAAGATCTAAGACAACTGTAGGGGAAGCACTGAAGACTGGCAAATGGATGGCTTTTGCAAAAGGCCAATTTTCCCCCAGTACAACGATATTATATAATTCAAATGAACCTCATAGAAAATATAATAAAATACAAATCATGGAAATGCTATCTTGCTTCAAACTCAGAAATGAAATACTCATGGTTACTGCAAAAAGAGAAAATTAGAAAAATTTTATAGAAAGAAATAATTCCTTTACTTTATATTTACATATTACATATTTACATATATATTGTTCTACATATTTTAATAATACCTGTGTGTTTTCTTTACATCATAAATACTAACCTCAAAACACTTTTTTCTAGTTTTTAAATATTTCCAAAGTAACATATGTAAGCTCACCTTGCCTGAAGCTTTGAAAAAAAATTTAATTTACTAAATTTACTATTTCAAAGTAAAATTTACTAATCATAAATAAATATAACAGAACTTCTATTCTGACTCATTCTATTCCATTCCAGGTGAAAGTTTTGAATTAAGTTGTCTCTTGGCTCTGTTTTGAAATAAAGTCTTTAAAACACAATTTGGTACTTAACAATTATTTATTCATAACACTAAAGATGTCTTCTGTCCAGAAAACTTTACATCCTTGCTTTATGATAGGAGATTTTTTTGAGGAAACAAAATGAACAATTGGTTGTTCATATGCATGCAGGATCCTATCACTTCTGTGGCATTATCACAGAGTCTGAAAGTATTTTACAAAAATAAGTGAAATTGTATACCTAATTTAAGCAACCATGAGTGCTTATAGATAATTTAAACTGTACACAGAAGCTTACTTTCTTGAGGCCATAAAAAAAATTTCAGTCACAAGGCTCAACATTCTGCCCAGTGTAACTGAACTCTAATTCCATGATGAAAAGTCAGTTCTTAATAGAATTTTTAAGCATACTTGTGAAAAATATGGTTGAGAGTGGCTTTGGATGGCTTGGATCATCCTGACCTAGCAATAAAAAGCAACTTCACTGGTTTTACGGCTCTCAGTATAATTTCAAGCACATAGTTGCCCAACAGCCTCAAAATGTACACAAAATGTAGGATAAATATGAACAAAATACTCACTTCAACAGTCTCAATCTTTCCTTCATGGGGATGTGGGGTTCTTGGGTAAATATCAAGAAGATGTGGTGGTGAATCAAAATGTAATCTTTTGAGATTTCTTTTATTAAGAGTTTTACAAGGCAATTCATCAAAGTTGGTCTTCCATAATAAGACCTACAAAGAATACTGGCAGTTATTGATTTGCATGTATAAGCAACAGAACTGATTTTTTTAAAAAATGAATATACATTCATTTAAAAATATTTAAAATATAAAACATTCATTTTAACCCTTTGCACTCGCTTGCTTTTTTCTCATTATCCACTCGACATTCTCCACACTCGACATCCCAATGCAAAGGATTAAAAATGAATTATCCCCCAAAGTAGTCAGAAAGCTTAGATATATATTTCAAAAATATTACTATTTCTCAACACTTTGTTTTAGGTGTGGTGGGGGAGAGATTTAGCATTTTCAATTGGCTTCATAGCTAGTTTAAAATTCATTATTAAGAAAATATTCTTGTTATAATTGCCCACAGTGTTAAACTAATTTCTTAAAAAATCTTGTTATCTTAAAATCCTCTTTTTAAAATTTTTTTCAAAGCCCATTTTTGGCTTGATCATCCACTTTATTCAATAAATCTGGCTGCAAATGACTTTTGGTCAATTTCAAATAAAAGCAAATTCACTACATAATGGTTTATATCTGTAGTCCTCAAGAAGCTTAACATTTGAAGAAACAAGACATACAGACAAAAGATGAGGCAATAACTTAAGCAGAAGTGCTATATACTTACTGAAAGTTGGCATTCAGTGTCAGCTACATATATAATTACATGTAAGAATGAGCAAAACAAAATCACTATTTGAGTTCCAAAAACTTATCAGAACTGGTACTATTTCAGTTATGAGAGAGCACACTTCATGGCACTAAATTAAAATATAAACTCATTGATAATAACTACTAGCTGGTTGTAAAAATCTTAGCTGAGGCTAGGGATTCCTTTATCTCAATCAAACCAAAGAGGGAGCTAAAAAATTTACAAACCTGTGCATCTGCACCTCCTGATGTAAATAGCTCTCCACCTTTCGAAAATGAAACAGTAAAGACAGGCCCCTAAGAAATAAAGGGAGATAAAATACAAACAAAACACTTGGTGATGCCTTTTCATGGCCAAGAGGATTGTGAATACCAATTTTCATCCTAATTTATGTAGACTACTTATACAATAAATGTGATAGAACATACCCAGTTACCTGCAAATAATGCTGGCAGAATAAATAAAGATAATCAAAGAACGAACTCCATGATATTAAAACACAAATAAATGATATTAAAAAAAGAAATTCTAAAAATTAATAAGAAAATAACCCTTTTCTCCTTTCAAGAAAAATTTGTACATGTGTAAATTGATAAGAATTTCTGTTAAGATATTCTGGCTTTGGACTCTATAATCAACCAATCACTAGGAGAGACTGGATGATAAATATGCAGGTGATAGGAATGAGGCTATATAAGCAAAGGACATTTCCTGGCCACACTTAGCTTCACTGAGTTCTTCCTTCATGTAGGCAACACTGAATCACTAAAAGTTGTAAGAGCAGGATACAGATGTGGATAGGAGGAGAGCTGTGATTGATGAAAATTAGTATCACAACTGTGAGAATGAATTGGAATAAGAATGATAGTTGGAGGCCAGTTAGGAGAGTTGGAGGCCTGTTATCTAGGTGAGAGGTAATGAGAACTTGACACTGAGCAATTACTGCAGAGTTGGGCAAGACTGGACTGGGCAGAGGCACTGGAAGCATAGCCTTTAGGTCAACGTTTTGGTTAAAATAAGAGTAATTACTTCTCATCTCAAAAATATTAATGTATTCTATTTGTTTTTAATATGTCCTTAATCTATACAAGAAAAGTTTATGGGAAGAACACCTTGTATTTTTCCAAGTAGATCATCCCACAGACTTAGGTTATCATAGCTTCAAAAGCAGACTTCACCTCCAGACTATGAAAAATTCCATCTTTGTGTAGAGTGTTTTTCTTCTAAAATACTGTGTTTATCTTTTTTCCTCTATTATTTTGCACTCCTTTCATGGATGTTTCAACCCTTGGCCACTTTTATTGGTTGTGTTTATTCATCCTAAATCCATGGATATGCATATATCTGAGCTGGTTAGTGTCTATTTCGGCTTCACCCTAATGCTTCTGCAGAATAAATGATAAAGCGAAGCAGGAAACCAGGCAGGATACATGAAAGTAGAAAGAATCTCTTTTCTTCTAGACCACAAAGCTCATTCTATTTCTAGATATAAACAGCTTATACTTGGTTAAAAGGAAGTACCTAGTACATCTAAAAAAAAATGAGAGAAAGAGAGAGAGAAAGGATATATACTAAAAACTTCAGAGAAGTTTGAATATTTACCCAGAAGGGAAGAATAGTTTATATATTTAAACAAAAATTTCTCTTTAATTATATGGGGGGGATGTCTTTGAACCAGTTCCATAAATAGCACCCCTCTTCCTCTTGGTTATAAATCATTTGAGAAATAAGGGCATTCTAGAACTGAGGCCCACAACGAGTCAAGTTCGACTACTAAGTCACACAACACTAGACAAGGGCACGTTTCCCCACAAAAAGCATCAGAGGAAAACAGTGAGAACAGGCTCAGTCTTTAGGCAGGAAAATAGAAGGCGTTAGGCTATGCTTGCCAAATTCCTCCTTCTAAGCTCACCAGTCAGATTAGTGAAAGCAGTAAATGAGGGGCGTGAGAGGCAAAGAGTGTCAGGGTTAGTGGGAGAGTCTCTGCCTGAGGACAAAGCTCAGAAATAGGGAATACACTTACCCATCCCCATTCAACCAGCCAATTTATACAACATACTGATAAGGACAGCAGTAGGGTTCATTTAATGGCCACTGAAAAATATGCATTGATTTTGGCAAGAATTATAATTAATAATATTTCTAAGAATTGTTTCCAGAGTATAAGAACATAGGCTTAGAAGTAAAAAAAAAAAAATTTGTGATAGCAGCAATGTGTGTGCCATGTCTGGAAAAATAATAAAGGCATATAATAAATGGATCAAAACTTTAAAATATGTAGTGCTTTATATTTTTAATATTTTTATACATAAAAAGCAAAAATCTTAGTGTTAGTACCGTATGTCCTTGAAGTGTGTATATGAGCCTTCCTTCTAAGAGATCCAGAATCTTAAGTGTACCATCTGAAGCAGCAGTGATGAGATAGTTACCCGAAGGATGGAATGATATACAATTAACTCCACCGCTGTGAACTGATTTGTAGAAAATAAAAACAGAAAGTTCAGAGAACAATTCTTAACTTTAAAGATACCCCTTTTGCCTTAGTAGCAACATTAGGTTGAAAACAAGAATCAATTACAGCAATATTTCCACAACACCAAAATTCTATATAGCTCATTAAAACGAATAAGTATGTTGGCATCCTACAAGATTAAGCTTCTGGCTAGTGGGATGGAAAAACTAAAAACAAGACCTTGTCATGGAAAGATAGTTTTATTGATCACATAACTATAAAGTCTTTGTATATATTACCAATATAACCAATAGTTGATTACTGCCAGCTTATATAAGGTATATAACCTGGCCTCAAATTTAATTTAATAACCACTTAGTGGCTTGGGATTAAGGGGTGAAGAATGTGGAGATATATTTGAAGAAGGGCACAGTCCCGTCATCTGTTGGAGAATTCATTTCTGGATACCATCCTTCCAATAGGAGGCAGTATAACACAGTGATCAAAAGTTTATTCTATGCACTTGTAAGCAGGAAGACCTAAGTCAGTTCTATCAATTATTTGAGCAAGTTCCTTTCTCTCTGTAAGTCTCAATTTCCTTATCTTTAAAACAGGGGGTAATAATGATACTTCTCGAGAATATTGTGAGGATATAGCATAGTGTCTGCTACATGTTAAATACTGTATAAGTGATAGCTACTTATGTAAAATAATAATGTAGATTTAATTTAAATCCAATATAAACCAAGAAAATCAATTCACTTCTCTTTTGGCCTCAATACACAGGCACAGCAGGAAGTTGTTTGTACCAGTTATAACACTCATTTGTGTTCACATACCTCACTGTGCTTCAGAACTCAGAGTCGATTTCATGCCCTGACTTCTCACTCAATGTAGATAATCAGAGTTCGAAGATCTCACATTAACTTACTTTCTTCTAGCCCTAACATCATTTTTAAGGTCACTTTACCTCTCTCTTCTCTGCAGCTTCTCAGCCCCTGCTGTTGATGGGAGCCAGCTATACTCTTCTCTGGTTCAAAGGCAGCCCAGGGCCCTCACGGAGAGGGGCAAAACACAGCAAGAAGGAGAATGGGTCCTTCCCAGAGAAGACCATTCAATAGTTAAAATTTTTTCTGTTAGGGAAATTATTACCTTGATAATGCTGGAGTAATTTGTTCACTCTTATATCCCAGATTTTCACAGTGTGATCAGAACCTGCTGAAGCTATGTAGGTACCATTAGGGTTAAAATCCACAAAATTTGCAAATCTAGGAGGAAAGAACAAGATGGTCTAATATTTCAATTTTCCCACTCTCATTTCTTTACTTAAATTGTTATAATTAAACATATCCTTAGCAAATTAACCCACATAAATGTACAAGAGTGTACTTACCCTACAGAATCTGAGAAGTTATTTACACACTGCTTATTCGTGGTATCCCAAATTTTAATAGTTTTATCCTCACTACATGAAACAATTAATCTTCCATCAGGTGAAAATCTAGAAGGCAGAAGAAAGATTTGATTTGTAAAAGGTCCTATGGTATCAAATGGTATTAAATGCCATACCACGCAGCCAAGTCATATTCTGCAAGCAACGTCTTTCCCATTAAATGTCATCGTGACAGACAACACTGGCAGACCATTATAAAGGTCAACCTATGCTGTGGAGACTAACCAATTTTCTTTTTTCCCTTTTATTCAAATAACTTAGTTTTATGTCAGCTGCTCTAGGTTTTTGATTCAATTCTCTACTCCCACCAAGCCAAGTACCTTGTATTTTTTTAAAGTACTCTATTTCTTTCCTCTATTTCTGTCATTTTCCACTGTTATCGTATGACCCAAGAAAGCCTTTATTACTCATTTCATCAAGCCTGTAGTGAAACTTTCTGTTAAGAAAAGGACTGGTATGTTGAGAATTAAAATTAAAGTGATATCACTGACAAAGAACCTAACTGCCCACACCTGTAACTTCCTGGACGTGGGGAGGATAGAGAGCTCCAATGAACTGAAAATAGCATAACTCATTCGTACAGAAGTTCCTTCATGGACAGACCTATCATCTATATGCCCCATTAAGGAGATAATGGGAAAAATCTCAGACATCCTGTCTTCTGCTTTTGAGCAGTCTATTCCTTTAAGATCCTTTCCAGGGTTCTTTTGTTATTTTTTTCCTAAGTGCCTTTGAAAATTAGATAGAAGTGCAGAGGACCAAATAGAAAATGAAGACTAATTTTAGACTATTAGGAAACTATGAATAGTATTTTTATTACTAATATTTTAGCAATAACAAAAACAAAAAAACAAAAGAGGCAGATTTAGGTAATAGACTGATTATGTTTTAATTTTACTTGTAGTTTCCCTCTACGCCCAGAGTCAAGATTATTATAAGTCATCAACTGAGGGTGTGGAATTTAATGGAAGGCTTTCCTCTTTGTCCCACCCCGACCCTCATTCTTAAGGTTGACCTAAAAAAATAATTTTTCCTGACAGAAACACTTTGACTCTGGCATTTATTGATTCACCATGTGAAACAAAGACACACAGAGGCATAATTAAGTTCTATGTGAAATAATACTTAAAAACTCAAAATAACCTTGCAAGGAAAAATATTCCATGGTGGGTAGTTTATCCTGACTTTATAACAAGTAATATATTATTAATCTTTTCCTCCAGAAAATATGTGAGAAAGGTTCAAATACGAAGAACAGTATTATTGAAATGCTCTAAATGAAAGAAACTTATTTTACACAGACTCTGGAAAAGAAAAATCTACTCAGTACCCCCAGGAAAATAAACTTTGCATAATAATTGCAAATGACTAATGCAAGGAATCAAATTGTATTTCTTAATAAGCTATCTTTTTTTAAAAAATTACTTAATATTTTAAGTGACAAGAATATTTCTGAGAAGACTTGATTCTTATATTTAGAGAAAGCAATGATGAAGAAAAATATTAATAAGATGGAATGATCAGATAACAAAACACAAAAATATTCATCCTACATTATTGACCGAACCCAACTGCCACCATCACATCATGATCATACCCACATTTATTGAGTACATATTTCCTAGAATAGTTCTTGAAACATTACTGATAGCAACTCATTTAATCTTCAGAATAATCCTATAAAACAGATGCTACTGTTTGCCTTAATTTACAGATGAATAAATTGAGGCATATACAACATCAGTAACTGCCAGAGTCACTGAGTCAGTAAGGAGAGGGGTTCAGATTTGAGTCAGGCGGTCTGTTTCCATAGCCAAATCTCTGAGCCACTGTCTTAAGTCTCTGGCAAAAATGAAAGTTTATTCTACTGGCCAAATTACTTAGAGCACTGGAAGTTCCGTGTGGCTTCTGTGTAAACAACAGAAAGTTCTCAAGTGGAAGGGCACCATGAGGCAGTGCTCTTAGGAGGCTTTACTGAAAATATCTCTGCGTTGTCATAAGCTGTAAGTAAAACAGGCATGGTCCCTGTCCTTGAGGAATTTATGGAGAAGATATTCACCCACTAATTCTCACTCAAAGATTTACTGAGTACCTGGCACTGGGCACTGCCCTGGGTAATAGGAATGTAGTTATGAATGAGACTGATAAGATCCTGAGGCTTTTATTCTAGGGAGGAGGAAGGAGGGAGGGCACACAAATAATATAATTTTAGAAAGTGATATGAAAAAAGTTTGTAACAAAAAAGGTACCAATTTGTCACTAGAAGGTCCATAGAAGAAACAGGATTTTAAAGAAATTTGTGAATGAGGAAGAGCATATATCTTGGTCAGCTAATGATGCACCCTGAGCAGGAGGGTCCACAGCCTGGAAGAAATTTCTGAGCACAAAAGAAATGAAGAGGATATGAACCTCAAATAAGTGAAGAATGCAGGCGGTAGAAGAGAAGCAGATGGTGCCCGAGAGAGAGGATGTTTCTACCTTCAATTTAAAACCACCTAAGGGCACGCAGGGTTAAGCCCTTCCCTCTACTGGATACTACATTATAATCCCTGCATATATGCTCTGTATATGCTTTTTGCCTTTGGGGAGCTAAAAGTCAGGATGATAGCTTGTATTTTCTCCTCCTCCATTTATGTTTAATCAGATACATCAAAAATAGGTTGATACCAATAAAACAGGCTTCTCTTTGCCCCGACTTTGATCAGGAAAGGTTAAGTCCTTTACTGCCAGGCCTCAAATAACATCTAACTGGACTGTTAATTTTAGGAATGTAAAGAAGATATAAAATTTCTACTAAGGCATTAATAGATTTCTGACTCTCTAATTCACTTCTGCGCAACCACCTTTTAAAACTGCCAGAGAATGTGTCACCAAGATGGATATTAGTCAACAGTGACTAATAGATCAGCAGACATGGACTGTCTGTAGGCATTTGAGAAGTTAACTGAATAACCATTGAATCCCTTAAAATTCATTAGTACTCATTCAATAGAATGAGGAAATTCTTGAACTTCTTTCTAGAAAAACTGATTCACACATCCTTGAGAGTAGTGTAAATTATGTAACAGGAGTTCTTTACCTTGGAATCTATGTAGTTCCTAAAACTGTATGTAAAATTTTATGTCTATATGCACAGTCACAGAGTTATTCATTTATTACAGAACCAAAAGGGTCCATGAAAAGATTTAAAGTGCTTTCATAAGAAATCAAAATTTTCCTTTGAATATTTCTTATCATTATTAAAAAATACATTTCCAGCCCTCAGGGCTCTGAGACCAAACAAGATAGGCACTTTTCCACATCCTGTAAGAAAAACCATTAGTAAGAGGAACTCTGAAATCTAGCAGCTCTTTAATAGGAGAAGGAAGCAGTAAAAAGTAGTGGAAAGAAGACTGCCCAGTAAGTACAGTCCTGAACTCTAGGGCCAATTGTGCAACTGCCCAGGTGTAACCTTGTGAAACTCACAACCACACTGACCATTGTTTCCTAGTTGTATAATGAGGGAGTTTGGATTGCAGTCAGCCCTAAAATTTTCATAGACTCATTAAAAAAAAAAATTGGCAATCTCCAAGTTTGCTTCGATAGGATATGGTGTGTTTACAGACTGAAGGTGAAGTTCAAGGCAATAAGCAAAATATTTATGTTTTTTTAACTGTCGGTCAACATTAGAAGAGAAACCATCTGTTGACTACAGTAACAGGATTCATTTCTGCAACTTCTGAGAGACAAAGGCAGATGAAAAAGATAAAAAGATTAAGTATACCATGAAACATGCTAATCATTTGTTGTGTCACTTACTATCTATATGCCCAGACTTCACTCCTGAAATCTCCACTCATAAGTATAACTGCCTACTGGGCGTCTCCTCTTGGATATACTGCAGGCACTTCCAACTCTGAACTTGTCCAAGTATGAACTCATCTTCTTCCTCCCTAAACTGCTCCTTCTCCAAGGTTCTTTTTCTCAGGAAATGGTCTCTCAAGCCAGAAACCCAGGAGTCATGCTCACTTCCTCTTTCTCTTCCACTTACTCGATCCCAATCCATTATCAGGTCCTGTCTCCTCAAACCATAATCAGTCCTGCTATCTTCCATTCTCCACAAGCAACAAAAGTGATAGATGATTGATAGATAGACAGACAATTTATTTATTTGTTTATTTATTCATTCATTCACTCATTCATTTAGAGACAGGGCCTCGCTCTGTCACCCAGGCTAGAGTGCCATGGCATCATCATAGGTCACTACAACCTCAAACTCCTGGAGGGTCAATTGATCCCCCTGCCTCAGCCACTTGGGTAGCTGGGACTACAGGTATGTGCCACCACGTCTAGCTAATTTTTACTATTTTTTGTAGAGACAGAGTCTTGCTCTTGCTCAGGCTGGTCTCGGACTCCTGGCCTCAAGCAATCCTCTGCATCGGCCTCCCTGAGTGCTAGGATTATAGGCATGAGCCCCATGCCCGGTCTAAAAGTGATCTTTAAATCTTGAATCAAATTGTGTCACTCTTCTGCTTAAAACCTTTTGGTGGTTTCACATTTCCCTTGAAGAGAAGTCTGACATGCTAACCACTGCTCACAGTCTTCCATCATTCTCCTCTCCTGGGCACCATCCCCAACTTCTCTTGGTCCTTGCTCTTGCCTTATGTTTTTCCTCACATGCTGCTCCCTGTGCCTCAAACAATGCCCCTTACTCTTTACCTAGCTTTAAATATGTAGAAGGATTTTACACATCCTTCAAGTTCTCTGCTTCTATATCATTTCCTCGGGAAAAGCCTTCCTAATCACTGCACCCTATCTAGATCAGCACCCCAGGATGTGTTCTTAGCGTAGCCCACATTCACAGTTAACATCTCACTTATGACTAAGTGGTCTATGTTTACTTCCCTGAAAGAATGTAAGCTCCAAGAAGAGAGAAACCACATCTGTCTCATTTAGTGTTCTAGCCTCAGACACAATGCCTGGCATTGAGTAGGTCCTCAGTAAATATTTAGGGAACAAAAAACAATAATAATAATAAAAATAAAAAACAAACTTTTTGAGGGAATTGG